CGGAAGGAGAAGGGCTCTTTTCTTTCTTGATTCTATAAATAAAACATTTCTCACGCAACTGCCAAAGTATATGTAAAACAGTATTTAAATACGCGATTTATTCAATTTATTCAATCAACGATACAGCAGAATAAAACAGGAGGAAAAATATTGTAGCTGATGTTGAAGAGAGTAGAAAAAAACAAATGATAAATTATAACGATATTTCACCACGTAAAATATAGGCATATCATATCATATTTCTTTCATATTATAATTTTTATCCCACGCGTCTGCTAAAATTTTCCATCGGATAAATTATTAGGTTGTGACAAATGGTTGAATTTTTGATAAAATTTAACATTTAATCCGCACGTGGACTTTTGATTTATATCTTCATTAAAAATGATTTCGATCGATTCGAACGAGTTCAATATATCTTTTCAGTTAAAAAGATTTTTAAGAGTTTTGTAATTAAAATATTTCTTCGATACTCATTATATAATAAATAATAATTTTTATTATTTATTTCTTACGTTTATCAAAATTTTTCTCAGAAGAAGACTCTATTAATGTTCGGTGTTTTATACAGAATTTTAAAGTTGAATAAGAAAAGCATTTGAATTGGGTGTTGAAATATAGTTCGTTATATAACGTACAATTTGCTTTCTTTAATAATAAAGCAATTAATAAAACATCGTTCAAATTATAGTTCAGCTAATTTCAAGCTTAAAATTAACGTGCAAATAATTAATTAATATATATTTAGTCATTAAATTCTGAACGCATTCGCGGAAAACGAGTGTTTCATATGTAACAATTTAATAGCTGCGTGCTTCTATTAATAAATTAACATTGAAGTTTTTCTACATTTATCGCGTTTTACATTACTACATATTTATCACTTCGTCCCACGAAGTAGAACTTGATCCTCATTGCATTCAACAAGCACGAAAATCACGTAACAATTCTATTAGAGTGAAATTTATTCCGCTTTAAGTGGACCGAAACTCGCTGACGGCGTAAATACACAAATTTTACCCTCCCTTTAAATTCACTCGTGCACTGAATGGAACATTATTTAATATGTATTTAAATTAGTTCATAACTTTTATAGCTTTCAAATATTATCTAATTATTGAATAATAATCAGAATATTTTAATATAAATGTAAATTGGAATGGGATAAACAGAAAAATATGAATGTCTGTTTAATAAAATATGTACAAAAAATATTATATTTCTTAATTATATATCTTTACAAATATTGCTGACATTAAGAAATATTGACCAAGCAACGAGCTGTTATCGAAGCGTCTTTTTATGTTTCTTCAATTTTCTTAAATGCAATAATTCAATACGTCTAATAATACACGAATAATATATTAATCCAAATGTAATAATTCTAATACTGGATTTCTTAAAATAATTTGATCATACTTATTACCATTTTCAAATACTGTTTGCTTAATTCTGAAAATTATTCTTTTATCACGTTTCACATGTTTCATTCTAATCAATATTTCAATAGCATCTTATCATTATTAGCAAGTAACACTTACTTCAAACAAATACAATTTTATTATAATTTAAGAAATTTCGAGGGATTATTAAATTTTGAAGATTAAAAAATTGATTTTCACTTTAATTTTGAGAAATTACTTTTTTCCATTCATCTCACTTTTGTATGTTTCAACCTCATCGTCGATTAACTTATTAAAAAATAATAATAATAATAATAATAATAATCCGATAGTGAAATCCGATGAAATCTTTTCGAGCAATGGAAAACAAATAATTCGAGCAGGAACGATTATTTTAACGGGACGAAAAAGAAATTCTCCTGATGCTAATCCCGCCAACTCCGACAAATTTCGAGGGTTCCAACTTCAATTAGGTTTAGCACCGTAAAAATACGGGGGGTTAGGCCGCTTCCACTTCCAGCGCCGTTTCCGCAGGAAGTAATTTCGACTCTTTAATGAAATTTTAAAATTTCCCGCCGACTTCGGATAATGTGCAAACTGTATTCGCCTCGCGGACCAATGTTCTTTAATTTTCGCAAATTTCATCCGGATTGCACAGAGAGAATGTTAATATTAAGCGTTTATCCTCTGCGGCGGAATCAAAACTTTCAATTAATATCGGTTCCTTTCCTACAAACGGGAAAGGAAAATTTATTGTTCGTGGAAAATGGAATTTTTAATTTAATACCTATGATATTGAATTTGTTTTATTATATATAATATATAAAATATTTATTATTCAAGTTATTTAATTATTTCACCAAATTACTTAATTTACGAGTTGTTAAATTTCTGAGACTCGATATTATTTAAATATAATTGGTGGAATGTGAAGTATATTCAACAGGTTATTAGTTGTTGTTTTTAAAATGTCGAATAAAAAAGAGTTCTACACTCGCCATTTAAGGAATTTCGCGCTTTTTTAATGGAAAGATTATTCCAATAAATCATTCACAAGCCACGATCAGTCACAAGATTTTAAGTCCTGCTTCAATCTTCTCTGTAAGTTTCTAAAAGAATTTCATACAGACAAAAGAAAATTTTTAAAAGAAATTTGCATTGTTTTAAGCTAAGAAAAAATTCTTTCTTTATAAAAATCTTATCATTCGAATAATCTAACTTGAGAGAATCAAAGAGATATTTTATACAAATAAAATTTTTATCGTGCAAAATTAACCATTGATAGGAAAAGTCACTTTCTCGATGCATTCCAGATAAGATGCCTTCAAGCCTATTGAAAATAATACGCCACCCGAAGTATCACGGGTTTTGATTACTTCAGAAATTGCCATAGACGGAGCAGCAAGATAACTTCATCATTTTCAAAGGAATTAGCGGTGACACGTACACGTCGAATACCTGATAATGTCACTGTAAACTTTGTTCCTTGCTCATGAGCATACTAATTATTACCTCGAAGTGGAACTTGTATCGAGTAGTGCAACTGGATAATCTCAGACTTCTTAAATAAAAGAGTACATTTTTCATACATTTCTTCATGATATTAAATATCGAAGCATTCTGCTTGCAATTGATCAAAAGGAATCATTAATACTGAAAAAAGAAAAACATTTAGCTAATTAGGATACTTCGGTACTTCGAATGCATCGATACAAACAGTTTTAATGTTAAAAGCGATTACTAAATACTCTCGCTCTCTTTTACCATCGACGATTTTAACCATCCTTAATTATATCAATATAGACAATTGCATTTGAACATTGAGATTTCGAAGATAAAATTATTATTGGGTCTTAATTTAATTAAAGAAAATTAAAGAAAATTCGTCAAGATAAATCATTCACGGTGGAACGAATTAATTTCACTGGAAGCGCATCTTCCATTATCGACTACTTCCCATTTACCCATTTACCCCTTTCCATTTTTTCCTCTCCACGTATCCTCTTCCTCTTCTTCCGATTCTTCCTCGCTTTTCTCCCCAGCCACTTGTCTTTCGTTCCAGCAGAGAGCATCGAGCAACCTTGGCATTTTCATTTCCTGCCAGACGCCCTTGTCCACCGTGGCGCGAAGATAATGCATCGACGTCCACCATAAAACAATTCGTGCACGCATTTTTATCGGCAGAGCACGGGCGCCACCCCTATCGGGAAAACTATAACTCGCGTATCCTTGCGGCTGGTGGTCGGGTCGGTCGAATGGCACGTGCGAGAGGAGAGCACGAAGATACGTGGAGAGGAGAGGATGAAGGGTGGAGGGAGGATGAAAGTGTCGGGCGGTGAATGGAGCGAGGGGTTGGACGAGGAGGAACCACTTAACAAACTGCTGAACTCACACCCCGCGGGATTTTATTTCTACTTAAATGGAGTTGGCGAGATACGCATTGGATTCTTTGCCGGATCTCTGGCTACGAATTTATTTGTACCGTTTGTTATAGACACTCTTTTATCCTCGGCTTCGATCGTATATCCGCCCTTCTCCACGGATCTTATATAAAATTTCTCTCCCTTCCCGTTGAAACTACCCGTTCAAGGTTAGTAGAGGGATGGTAGAAGTATTGCTTGGTTCGTTTCTCTATATATGTTTGTTTTATTCTTTTTCTGCAGGGAGGATAGGTTTGGAGAAGTCGAAGCAAGATGAATTTTAGTTATAAAAAATATTGTCGAAGCTTATTTGTATTAGTTGCGAGCGATTTAAGTTTGTGTTAGTGGAAACGTCTTATTTCGTCCAATGTGAATTTAATCATTGATCATAATTTAATAAATAAGCTCGAACCAATATTTTCCTTGCCAACTTTGCGAGTTTGTTTTGGCCTCTAGAATCAAGCCTTGGAGGAGGGGGGGGGGGGGAATTTGTGTATTATTTAGCATTTGGTATAAATTACAGAACAATTGGTAAGAAAGGAACGATTTAAAAAGTTATTTGAAAGATTGTTCGTTAGAAGAATTTCTTTCTTCATTATTCAAAATAAATTACAAGTAAATCAACAACGAGAATAACGCGTAAGAAAAAAAGAAAAATTATCATCATTATGCACCGTAATAACACAAACTATGTTACATGTACATCTCACAAACTATATAAATCATTTGATCCTCTTAATAAATATTGAAATAAAGAGAGAAGATGTTAGAAGATGCTAAATCTTCGTTGAAAGCAACCACATTCGACAGAGACAATTTTTCATATCAACGTTGAGAAGGCAGAACGAGAGTATCTTAATTTTTTCCCTCTTAAACAACGCATCCCCCTCCCCCTATACCGAGAACAAGCGCAAAGAAAGAAGTGGAACAACTAGAAGAAGGAAGGGGGGGGGAAAGCGGCTTCCTTATTTTTCCCAACATCCATTTCATGCCACGCGTAGCGGAGAAGCTGGCGAAACGACGAAAGATATCTGTTCCTGGTTCAAGAGGCGCTCGCCTCTAATTTATTCGAGGCGGTATGCTCGCGCATAATATGGCGTGAATAATTGCAAAGACGTTTGAAACAGTGCGTGAATACGAAAGAGGGCGTGGAGGAAGGTGGATCGGTGGCGCTCACCTTGTACGGGCCAAGATTTTCCACGATGCAGGTGAAAACGGTCTCGCGGCCCACGGATACCGTCAGGTTGTTGAGCGGTGTGCCGAACCTGGGTAAATCTGCAACACGAAAGATCCTCGTCTTAAGTATCCCGTCAACGGTGAACGATTTGCATAACCGTGGTATACACGCCACCCCTCCCTTGCTACTTATACTTATAACCCGGGTGGAGGAGCGCGGTAAAGTTTGCAAAGTACTCGAGAAACTCGACCGGTGAATGGGGCGAGTTAACGTAAGCGGGTCAACCTGGGACCTAAGCCAGCCTCTTTATATTTCCCGGCGAAATTCCCTGATTTCGCGTTCGTTCGATCAAGGAGGGGAGGGTGGGCAGGGCCAAAGGGGCGGTCATCCCAGCAGCGAATGTCCCATGAAAATAAAGGGACAAGAGAAAGAGAGATGTCGAAGGGATTCGGGGGTTTATTGTGATAATACCGGATGTGCTCGAGTGGATGTGGATGTATTTTTGTTGAAGGTTCGAAAGGGGCTGACTTGTAGGGTAGGATAGTAGATGTAATGACGAGTATTTAAACTCGAGTTTTCAGAATATTGCGGTGAAAATATTTTTATTTTTGCGGGAATAATGTTGAGAAATCGAGGGCAGTTTTCGAAAATCTATATACGTTTTATTAAATGTATTATCTGAAATATTTTGATTTAATTTAGTGTACTTCGATTTTTTTCCTCGAGTGATAATAGTGAAATGGATTTGTTTGATTGTTCTTTAATTATCATTTATATAATCATTTATATTGGTAATTTCGAAATTTGTTTTGTTGTATTATATTTCCTTAGAAAGAAATTTATTGTACTTTAAAGTAGATAAAACTATAGATATGTAACTATAGTAAATATATCGAAATATATTTGACCTATATCATAAACGATTCGGAGGTATATCATACGGAAGTTGGGCACGAAAATTTCAATTCTCGTAAGACCATTGGTTACACATGCCACGTTGAAAATTTATGGCACATCGATCGTCATTGGTACTAGAGCGAAAAACTTTAAAAATGCACATTTCCAACAAAAGCCTAAAAGTTCTTGAATATGAAAAGAATAATTAAAAATCTATGTTATATTTCCTCTAGCATATCATAAAGTTTCTCTAAACCTATAAATTTTTGTTAATAATTCACCGAATTTTCATTCAAACGTTTTTCATATCTCAGTTATATTTTTTATATTTAATAAATTTGTATAATATCTGTAAAAAAAAAAAGGGGGGAACAGAATAGAAGATTCGACTGCATTTAATATGAACACGTATCAAGAACACGTTATTGAAAGAGTAAATAACAATTAAAAATTAATTTACTTCAAAATCTCGAAACGAAAATACGACGGCGTATGATCATCGTGATAAATCTAGGAAAGCTCCAATAAACGTGGCTAACAGTGTCATGTGAAATTGATTATACCGTGACATCTGGCACTTTCGTTATCTCACGATTTTTTAGCTCGAATTTTTCACTCGTATTTCAAATTTCTATATCGTTAGATATTGATTTCGATACACGGCCATTTATCTTTTCTGATAAATATTTCCATAATATTGCTACAATGATTATATTTTATCTTGAAATCGATCTTAAATCGATATAAAACGTAAAAGCTTTCAACATTTGATACAGATGATTGATGTATATATTTCTTATTCATAATGCAGGTACGATAAAGAAAAAAGGAATAAATATAATAACAATTGAATATCAAAATATTCCATATCACATAATCCGCATTTATATTTATCACTTTTATTTACATGTCTCCAAGTAAATTACAAACGCTCTGTATTTATATTCGTTCAATAATAATTATAATATATTGTGTATTGAATAAACAATAATTAAACGTTAATCACATTCTGAGGAAATATTCCTTCGCAGAGGAATATCAAGACGATCTCAGACGCAAGCCAATACGAATTAATTTCTCGATACCTAGTGGCCGTTCAATTTATTTACACGAGGAAACATGTTTCAGTAATGTCCAATGCTCGTAATGTCTTCGAGCATTATGAAATAGTATAATATTTAAAGGAAACTGCGAAAAGTTCATTAATGAATGCTATGTACTCTTGACAATCTATAAATAGATTGCTGATAAATACATCTTGCAAATACGTTGAAGAATTAACGTAATATGAAAATTAAATCAAATACTTTCTCCTCTTTCTGTCAATCAGATTAGAATTGGAATTAAAATTTTTCGTTGATTAAAGTTATTCATACTTTATTTCATTTCTTTAGAAAAATTTAATTTAATTCATTAAATTTGGATGAATTTGTAATATGGTCGTAATAGTAATTAGTAATAATTTAATGTTATTAATAAATCTTATACTTTGTAATTATAAATAAAAATAAATTCATCAACATTCTCATAATTGACAAATTATTATTATTTCTTTTGAAGGGAGGTTTCGAAAATTTTTTTTAAAATTTAACAGAATATTTTGATACTTCCCATATTCCTTGTGTTTCACGTGGAAATTTCTCAAACTTCTAACAATTTTTTAAATTAACCTTGCGCCGATATTAAAAATTACTATTAAAAATTAATCCATCTTAAAAGAAATAAAGATTCGCATAACCTCTATAGTGAAATACCATCCCCTTATATATATTGAAACAACTTCTGCAAAAACATTTTTTTCTCAATTCTTCCTCTCCTTGAAACGTACCTCGCTATATTTAGATAAAAAACAACCCTTTAGATACCCTGCATTAAAGCCAGTTGATGAAATTTACCACGGTTTCTTTGAAAAGCTATCCCCAAAGTTTCAAGACGAAAACAGCGCGGTTATTCTCGTTTCTTCGCGTAGCCTGAATTCGAGGATGCCACCTAGGTCGTGGCACGTGAAGGAAAAAAATATAAAATGCATTAATGTCCGCGCAAGCTTGATGATTTATCCGATGAAAGGGATGCCGAGATTCGCCGGATACGGATCTCCTCTCCCCCCCGATACCCTTGGATATAATATCGAGAGAAATCCTTGGGGTGAATGGGGAGGGTTGGATGAAAGCGGGCCGAGCGTTATTTAATGCAAAGAACCCGCGGCATTTAATTGCGGAAAATCGGATTCCGCTGTTACAACGAGAAAAAAGGGACGTTTAAACTAGTTTTTAACCTACTTCCCTCGACTAGAGGAGTCACCGCGCTCTCGCGATTTTAATGAATTGTATTTTAATGGGGTCGCAGCAGGGGGTCCAAAGTAAAACTCATCGCGTAATTTCGCCGTTTTTTCTTTTCTTTTCTTTCTTTTTTTTTTTAATAACGTAAATCCGTGGCAAAGAACCGATCCTGCTCCATCATCTTTTCATGTTTCTGGTTCTGGTCATTGAAAAATTTGAGAAAGAAAAAATAAATGAAAGTGTAAACTACTAAAAAATATTTGCACACATTTGTTATTATCAATTGTTAATTAATTAGATTCAAGTGTAATATTTCGTAGCAGTACTTTTATATGATCTATATTTCATATTAATTTTTTTACATATTCGAGGAATCTGTGGACAGTGGTTCTATATGCAAAAATGAGTCGAAAATGAATAAGAATACAATCGTTTCATTAAAGGTTTCGTTTTTAAGTCAGATTTGAAAATTTTTTAATAAAAATGGGAATAATATGAATGAATTATTGATAGAAGAACGAAATTTTTCATTTAAATGCACTTTTTCAAAAAGATATTAAAACATTCGTCGAGTGCATAAATATTTGGCCACATTTTGATTACGTGTTTAATTTCGATTTTTTCAAAAATGCAATGCTTGTGTAAAGATAAAAGTACGTGAAATTTATAAAAGAATAATTAAGATTAATAAAATTTATATTATTAATAAAAGAATTAATTGTTTTATATAATTTTAAAAATTATTAAAAAATTAATTACAAGTAATATGTGTTATATTTAAACAGTCAAATATTTTTTGGATATGTAAATATTAACTTTTTTTTCATTGGATGATATGAACGAAAAAGATTTTTAGAGAAAAATTTGTTTAATAGAGAAGAATCGTTTGGTTAATTTTACTTTAAAAAATATGCATTCTCTGCATTGATTATAATTATAATTGATATTAGTATCGTTTCTAAAGTATTAATAGTATAAAATAAAATTAAAATTGATCGTGTAAAGAAAAAGATAATTTTTAATCGTTTACCATCTTCGTCCTTAGTCAGACTCGTCTCACTAATCTATTCCAAACTCCAAACAATCGACAGACGCGATTTCTGGAAAAACTAATACACATTTCCAAAAAAAAAATATATAAATCATTGAGTCGTGGACCTATTCATAATCTTTGTATTATTTTAAGTACAACTTTGAATTTTTGAGATATCAGAATGAAACAAAAAGCGATTGCATAGTTTCCTCTATTTCCTTTATTGGATTTTAATGACAAAATTGTTCTGTTTCTTCTTATATTTTTCATATGGAAAATTAAAATTTCATTTGTGACTTTTTATGGATGCAATGATTTGTTAGTTCGATACAAAGCATATACAGAGAATTAAATTTATTTAATTTATATTTATATTATACGAATAATAATAAATACGCAAAATATAATGCGTACAAATATTATTTTATTTTGTTTTATAAATGAATTTATGAATTTCCTTTTAAATTTTTAGATACACGTTTCTATTCTCTCCAATTTAATGGAATCGAGGAGATATTTAATCAACAATTTGCAGACATATGACACGTTGCGATCTCAAATTCGAAAAGCAACGTTAGGAAAACAGTCGAACGAATACATATGAAGGGAAAATTCACGCTCATGTTTTTGCAAACACTCGTGTTTAATATTTCACATGAAAGGGAAGATCCATTGATGCGGATGAAATTGCCTCGTCAAATACGAACGATCGTTTTTATAAAACTAGCCAATCAACCGAAAGTTCATAATTTTTGGCGAAATTCATCTTTGAAGATGAATTAATTGATCGATAATTACACTTTGGACATTTTATTTTTTAATATCATATACATTTATTTATTAACATCATATTTTTTAATACTGCTTTTTATTTCTATTCATCAACAAT